AACTTTTTTTCCGGCCCCCGCTTTTTTTTTTTTTTTTTTTTTTTTTCACCCACACTCCCGCCAACACCCCTCCTCCCCCCCAACAAAGGTTTCCTGGCTGGGTCCGCAAGGCCGCCGTAATGGCGTGTGTGTGGCATGCGATGCACATTAACCCCTTCTTTCGAAACTACCTGGCCACTGGGTACGGCTGGTACTTGCAACCACTCTCATATTCACCATCTGCCCCGTACAACGCCGCTGTGTTTGGATTGTACATGTGTGCGTGTGTGCGCGGTACCGTGGAGTATGGCATGCCGTTGAACGCTGGCAACATAGCTGGCACCTGGCCTGGGGGCATGCGGCTTGGAGGCACAACTGGCTGCTCCAGTCCGGGTCCTGGCCCCCAGCCCTCGATGAAGCTTGATCCGCGCGTCTTTATGGACGAAGATGCCGTTGATGACTTGTCTTCGAACCGTCCCTTGAGTCGCTCCTTTTCTGCCGCCTGGAACTCCATGCACTGGTTCATGTACTCGCTGTACCCTCTGGGCTCTTTGGATTCCTTCGCCTCCCTGGACCCCTCTCGACTTCTGCCCTTGTAGCCACGATCTTCATGATGGTCCTTTCCGCTTGGCCTGTATGATGACCTCGTTCGGTCTGGAAGTGCGCTTGATGCAGCATGGGAACCAGTAGAGCCGGCGCTGCCCGAGCTAGCAAGCGTATTGTACCGTTCTTCCAAATCTCTGTGCTGCCTCATCATCTCTTCATACTTTGCTGCCAGCTCAAGGTTCGCGCTCTGGAAATCCTCGAGCTTATTGAGCAGAGAAGCGTTTTCCTTTTTAGCAACCTGCAGCTGCGACTTATACGACTCCCTCTGCTGCTTGAATTCGTCCCTTTGCTCCTTCAACTCGTCCTTCTGTTGCTGTGTCTCGAGCAGCTTTTTGCTAACCTGCTCTAGCCGTGCCTTGTATCGGTCGCATTCGGAGTTGACTTTGTTCAATTCGGTATTAAATGCGGTGTCGCGAGCAGTGTCGTCGTATTCGCGACCTGCGCGTGCGACATTGTCATCAGTTGGCGAGAGCAGGGAAACTTGGCGCCGTGTTGGTATCGGACCCGGCTGCACCCCAGCGCCACTGGTCGTCTGAGCCCGGCGACCAATATTCGCCGAGGCTCGTTGCGCAGATGATCGCATGAGGGCTCGGTTTTGAGCTTGTGCTTCTTCCGCCTGTAGGATAGCACAACAAGGAAAAAAAGAACCAGGCAAGTAAACCTAGCTCCACTAGGACGGGGGCGATTATAGTGCCAGGCGAGTTGCAGATGTCGCCAGTAAATCACGCTTGATCCGAAGAAAAATTTCTCACGATGTCTTCCTCTTGTGTGTGATTTTTTTTTTCTTCTTTCTTTCTTTCTAATCGTTTCGTTTCGTTTCGTCTCAAAAAGGCAGTCGCTGGCCAGTGCGGTGGGTTATAATTTCGCCAGTGACAGTGACTAGGTCAGGGAACGGACCAGCGGTAAAGGAGCTGACAAGGGTCCGGTAACGCGTAGGTAGGTGTGGTATGACGCTGTGTGTAAGTTAATCAGAAGAGTCACCGTTGGGCTACGACCGGGGATGATCAAGCTCAAAGATGGGAGCCCAACCGGAGACAACAAAGTTGGCAAAATGCTTTTGTCGACCAGAGTGTATTGTAAAGGCCAGGATTTGCAGGAAGAAGGGTGATTTAAAAGGGAGGATATGAAGTATATTTATTCCTCCGGCAGGCCAGCAGGCAGCCTGTCAGACTGCCGTTCAAGGCAGGCTTGACTGGAGGTGGGCGGTGCGCGTCCTGAGGGAAGGGGGGCGCAAGTGGGATGGCATCAAATCTGCAGTCCACGTTTTGTGCTTACAGTACTCTGTCGAAAGCCTCGGGGGAGCAGGAGTCCAGTGGTGTGCGTCGTTCATGCGCTGCCGCTTTGTTTCGCGTCGTTGGCATGGCACACCTGACATGATGAGCAGACCACTCCCATCAGAGGACAACTTTGTCCAACCTTGCCGACCTGACTGTGCTTGGCCAGAACTTGCAGGGCTGTGATTTCAAAGCGCAAGGATTCTGGCTGTGAGTGAGCTTGACGCCAAAGTAGCAGTACCTTTGAGAGCCAGGCTGGAGGTCTGGATTATTGGACTTTTTGGCAGGTCATGATAGACCGAGACTCCCACTTACACTCAATCATGAGCCGGCCCCACCACCCTCATCATTCGTACGCGCTACCTTGGCGTCCAAAAAAAAAAGTCGAAAAAGGTGATACCAGCACCCTCCGTCCGTCAGAATAGGACCATGGCCATGGCAACGACGCCCACCTTTACCCAATTGGAGATGAGTGGCTGAGCGTGGACAAAACAATCGCCGCTTCAATCAGGTCTGGTGGTTGGTTGCCTTGTCGCGATGCCCCTCGTCGGCCCTCCTTGTCAATGGCTCTCCCCTCCATCATCTCGGTCATTGTCGACGGGTTGACACTGATGTGCACCCTAATTGTCTACTACCCTGAAATCACCCTGGCTGGTGCTAAGACGGGCCGCCAGGCAGTTCGCCCAAAGCCATGCCTGGGCAGGCTGCGTACCCACCACCTCCCGAGCTTCGAGCCGTTGGACTCGGTTCTCGATGCATCCGCGTTTAGGGTTTGTCGGCTCGACTATCTGCGATACACCACGGATGGTGTCGGGGGTGGGTTTTTCGTCGTTGCAGCCTGGGGTCGCGCCCGCAACGGCCTGGGAAACAACCCTCACTTGCAGCGGTGACTCACCATTATCGTAATGACCAGAAGCTGGCTCAAGCTCATGGCAGATGTGTGTTTGCCTTGCCCGTGGAAGAGAAGAAAAAGGGAAAAAGTCCTTCTCTTGGCAGCTATCTAGCGCCGTGGGAAAGCGGCGTGCGTCGGGATCCTGACTGGACGAGACCGGTCCATACCGGGGTTATTATCTGAAAAGGCGCACCGTTGGACGTTGATGAAAGGCGTGGACAGATTTGGTGCGCAGATACTCGTCTTGATGGAACGGGGTCGAGTTGCTGGTGTCCATCACCCATCATCACCCGCTCCCGGATGCATATCCTGCCCGGGCCTCAGGACAAAGTCGTCGTGCATTTGT